GAAACAGAAAAGTGCTTTTTACATTTCAAAAAAGGGAGGCTCGATCCTCACACAAGGCTAGGCTACTGGAATTGAATCCCACTAAAAAATAAATTAAAAAAAAAACATCAGAACTTATTTTATAACTAAAATTTAAGTTTTATGAATCCGGATTCGGTCTCCGGTTAACAAAATTGTGACTCCGTATTTGGAATCTCTAACTTCAGTTTAAAATTCCTTCCCGGTAAATTCAGTTCAGATACTAACACCTACTAGCGCCGCCTAATTTGGAATCTAAATTTTGATTCTTCTTGAACAAAGCTGACAGTAATATAGAATTCACCTAAAACAGGGATGTGCGACATTTTTTGTCGGTGTGTCATGTAACCAACTTCTGACATCTAGCATGGTCCACAAAATTTTTTTTTCCATGTACGTAACGAATTAAGAAATTCACACAATTCCAAATTTAAAATTTTAGTAACATTTTCGTCGGCCATTGGAATTTCCCTTGTTAATATTAGCCGTTAACACAAACTCTCGAATTCGGATTTTATGTTTAATAGAGTGTTGCACACTAAATGGCTTGGCGGGCTGAGTTGTGGCCCGCGGGCCGCTTGTTGCACACCCCTGGCCTAAACTAAGTTCACTGGATATCCCAAACCTCAATTTCCCGAACTTCTGAAATTCTTTCAACTATCAACCCTCCCAATAAACTGTACAACCGACTCTGCTCATTTCGAAACTGAATTTCATAAATATTGGTTCCCACTTGGAAATATCTTGAAGTTTTTGTCCCCCCTACTTCAAGAAAATTTAGATTTCTTTTATTCGATCCACAATGTATAAAAAACGGACATTTAACTGGAACTTTATGGTTAATATTTCGAATTGCAGTGTGAAATATATATATAAAAAACAAGTCATTGACAAGCTTGATCCGTAGTAAAATTTCAATTTCAATGTTAGAATTATAATTGGCCACGTATGATCAAAACTGGTCAGAAAGAAACGGTAAATCTACGAAAATCGAATTCACACAAAATGATAGAAAATTTAACGATTTTTTCAACAGTCCACTTTCAATTCTTGAGTGGACGAATCACGCCATTGTGAGGGTCCTATGCCCGTCCAAGTGGAAATTTCTGTTGAGAATCGCCGTTTAATTATTTCGCCTTAAATACACAAATTTGATATTCACGCGATTTTGAAAAGCCCTTAACGTTTTAAAGTCCGCGTTCCCAGACGCCTTTTCGCATTTTTATGTATTATTTGAATTTTTTGACGAAAACGTGGAATAATTGTATTTGAATTGAACTTTCTTAACGGTATCATCTAAATTAGTGTTTCCGAACCTGGAGTCAGCCGACCCCTAGGGGTCAGTGATGACTACACAGGGGGTCCGCAACGACATGAAAAGAATCTGAAACATATACAAATAAATCATGATCTTATTGAATTGCTGTTAGCGTATCAGTATTTAACGTCAGTATGTATTGGTCCAAACTTGCATGACTTTTATTTCGGCAATGGAAACATTATTCTTCCTCGTTGGTTAGGCACAAAAATTGGTACTCCTGAAGTATGCGCACCAAGATGTCGCACACGTTACCCTAACCCAGGGGTGTGCAACAGGCGGCCCGCGGGCCACAACCCGGCCCGCCAAGACAATAAGTGTGGCCCTTGTCAACACTCAGATATCCACCCACTAAGCATCAAATTCTAACCTATCAGTTTATCTTTAAAAAAGCGCGCACACGGGTTAAAATCCATAATTTTAAGTCTTTCGTCTTTTTGCCTTTATTACTGTAAGACTAAGCGATAACCTTTTTGTGGTGAGAAATGTTTAATTCATTGTGTACCCGAAAGATATAGAATTTTTTGAATGGCCCGGCTAGATGTCAGAAGTTTGTTATATGGCCCGCCGGCAAAAAATGTTGCACACTCCTGCCCTAACCTGTTACACAACCTGAGTTCAGGTTGTGCGCCATCTTGGTGCGCATACTTCAGGAGGTTCCCAAAATTGATACAACATAGGATGGGAATCCGTCAAAAATTAGATTCACAAACAGGAGTCCGCGGCCCAAAAAGTTTGGGAAAACTTGAATTCTAAATATTTGCGCCTTTGAGGTCGCTTGTCAATTTTTCTTTAAGAATTTTCGACATCACCACTCTTATATAAATAACATACCGTATTTATCACTGGCCGCTTGTCTAGACTTTCTAAAGTAGTAACGCCCCGCCAGTTTTCATTTAAACCCGAGATTCTAACTTGATTGATTAATGTGTAGCGCATGATTGCCACCAGGTATATTCATATCGATGATAAATAAAGCACAACCGGTGTTAGCAAAACGATTTAATTTGCCGACTTCCAAATTTTTATTCAGTAAAACATCATCAGGACATGAGTTTTTCTAAATAGGAATTCGAAACGTCGGCAAATCAAATTGTTTTGGTAACACCGGTTGTGCTTTATTTATCATCGATTTGATCAATGTGTATTGCTTAAATATAATTCAATATATATTCAGTTTTGCACTATTGTTAAACTTGCTACACTTCAAAGATCATTTTATTTTCCATTCATATATATTTATAGTTTATACAATTCAGACAATACAAGACAATTAAACTAATGCACTGGGGTTTCCACGAAACTCTAGACAGGGGCGGGCAATGTTTTTGAACCAGGGGCCAAAAACCATTTCCACCTAGACTGGCGGGCCATGTGAGTATGACGTAAAAATTTACATTTTATGAACAATATTTACAGTGTTACAAATGCAAAAGTGGAAAACAAATAAACCTCGTGCCATAATTATATTTAACCGCAATTTCAACAAATTCCTTGAGCTATTTTTAGCTGAAACATTAAAATTTGGTTTTAGTTAGTTTGTTGCAGCATCAGGCGGGCTGATTGAATCCCCCAACGGGCCGGATTTTGCCTGCGGGCCGTACTTGCCCGTGTCTGCTTTAAAATGTTTTATTGGCTTCCCTTCTACCAAAGTGGTCACAAAACACAGGTGTAGAGACCTTGTTCATGACAATATCGTCCAAATATTTGCGCTGATGTAATTTTCTTTCGAGAAACCTAAATCACATCTCGCGGTCTAGACTGATTTTATTTGCGAGATGTCATCGTTGTTTGTAAAGCAAGGTTTTATGACCGAACAATAGGGCGTTGTTATTATTCCCCTAGAAGTCGTCACGTTGTCAGTTAACGTTTCTCAACAGAAGAAGCATTAAATTGTATTTACAGAGAGAATTTATTTTATATTTGCGTGTAGTATGACTAATATTCATTACTTGTTTGGTATCCTTGTAACGTATTTATGCACACATTATAAAGTTTTTTACTGTACAAAAGGCAGAGCGTGAAATTTGCGAATACATTGAACTAGTTAGTTAAAGAGCCATTGAAGATTCACAGCGTGTCCGATAGGAAATATCTGGCATAGTTAGTTATAGTGCAGCAAGGCTCTTGAATCACTTAGGAGTTATCTTCAGGTTTCGTTTGCTCTCCTGATTTCATACATAATCAGTTTTTATTTATTTGTTTCTTATCAATCATTTTATTGACTGTTATGCTGATTATGAGGTCGAAATAAACTTATACCTCTTGCTACAGCATCCTTGCATTATATGCATACAGTTCGACTTGTGCAAAAGCTTAGAAGAAAAATAAGTAGTTGATTTCACGTAACCCCGATCGATAGTTATAGCAAAGGGTGACTGAACATTTGAACCCACGTACGTTTGAACCCATGTGTACATCCGCGGGTTCAATCTATATGTGGGTGCTAAAACACATGGGTTAGGGTTAGTATGAGTTCAAATATCCGTGAAACAAAAAAATTTCCTTAGGTGCAATAGTATGCCGGTGCAATCGTCGTGGGTTTAAATGTACGTGGGTTCAAATGTAATGGAACCATAGCAAAGTTATATTATTTATTATATTAAATTCACTATTACAGCTTATATAATTTAAATCTAATGTTGACTAATCGTCGTTTATAAACACTAATTGGACTTACATCTACGGTAATTTTTTTATTCTATTTTTTCACTTTTCTTTTTCGTAATTTTTCCGAGATAATTGTATAAACACGCTAAATACTGAAGTAGTAATGGACTCGACTACTTGTTGGTGTATGCCCTAACTACGGGAAATCATGAAAAACGTATAAGAAGCAACGATATAGGTTATCCATCGTTGTAAGTCTTCATACAGACGTAGTCGGTGGCGTATCTACGTGAAGTCGCACGCATGGAAAAGTTATAAATGCTCCCCCTTGATCGTTGACTGGCAAATTTTAACGACTGTTGTAGAAGTGAAATACTTTTACTTTATTATTTGAGTAAAAATACAGTTTCAATTATTCCCAATTTGAAATTATTTTATTGAAACAATTTAAATTTTTCGCTGTTTTTGCGGCCCTGTCCAAACGGCATCTATGGTACCAGCCATGGTTGCCACACCCTAGACACGTAACTGGACAGAGTGTCATCCATAATCAGTTTTATGTATCTTGTGAACTTTTCATACTCTTCATTTCGTTTGCTTCTTGCCGTTTGCGAACGTTGCTTCTTGCCGACAGCGAGTGGTGGCTTTACTTATTCACAGTAAATGCACAATGACTTGCTGAATATGATAGATTCTTATATAGTCTTTATGATACATGTTTCCAACCAATTGTATGTCTAATCTGCTTTTTGCACCAGGGAGTGGGCTTTATTGTCAATAACCAATCGGTGTTTCATTATATGATTAATTCGTCTTTCCAACTCTTTGCTCCCTGGAAGCGTTTTCATTCATGTCGAGGCGTTCTTCTTTCAATATTTAACAACCTTATCGGTTTTCCTCTCCCAGTTGGTCATTATTTTTCTGCGGTAACTTGGGCACCCATGCTCTATCTTATGAATAAGTCACCTTTTTCAAGGCTTCCCCCTCCCCCTGAGATTAAGATAAATTCTATCTTATACCGTATTTTATGTAAAATCTTCAACTCTTTTTCCAGAGTCGTTGTACCCGTGAATCTTGCAAGTATCTTCACCCACCAGGCCATTTGAAACAACAACTAGAAATCAACGGCAGGAACAACCTGATCCAACAAAGAGCAATGTTACAGATGATGCCACAGACTATACTGCAGTCTCCTGTGCAACAGCAGGCCATGGTGAGAAATTTAGATCTTTTTTACAAACGCCACTAATGCGAAATGTTTGATTTGAAAACTCCTTCCATGTTTAATTAAAAAAGAAAAAATTAATGAATTGTCAGTTGGAGTTAGAGTTAGGAATAAATTGAAAATTTGAATTTTCCTGTTTGATTTGCCCTGCATTTGGATCTTTTTACAAACGCCGCTAATGCAAAAATGTTAGATTTGAGAAACACAACCCCTGCAACGATCTAAAATAACAAATTGGTAATTTCCCGTTAGGGTTAGTGTTAAGGATGATTTAAAAATTCGAATTATCAGCGCAATCTACATTCCTAACCCTAACTAGATAATTACTGATTTTCTTAATTTTGAATGTTGGCGTTTTTTTTTGGTGGGGGATTCTTGTTTGGAGTGCTTTGTCTGCGAACAGGGCTTTGTACGAGAATCATTGACTTAATCAGTTTCAAGAAATGTGCTCTAATTCATATTATCAACTCATTATTAGCTTTTCACCAAACAGTGTTAAGTAATGTGTTATTTTTTTATATCAACTTTCATATCTCCGAGTGCTTAGCCCTGACATGGCCAAACTACGGCCTGTTGGGTAATTTAATCTGGCCCGCCTGATGATGCAACAACCAAACTGAAACCAAATTTTGATGTTTTAGCTAAAAAATAACTCGAGGAATTTGTTAAGATTGCGATAACATTTAGTTTTGGCACAAGGCTTATTGTTTTCCGCTTTTTTTTTGTACCTCTATAACTATTGTTCATAAAACGTAACTTTTTACGTCTCACTTACATGGCCCGCCAGTCTAGGTGGGCAAAATGTTTGGGCTCCTGGTCTAAAAACCTTGCATGGATTAGCCTTTTAGAAAAGCAAATTTATTATTGGTGGTAAATTTATTTGAAAGTAAACTATCGTTTAAGTTCGCGTTCTTAGTTGATAATTAACTACTTGCTGTCTAACGTATCTGTGATGGTTTATTGTCTTCTGGAAATAATTAATTATTGTCTAAGTAGGATTCAGTCTGGTTGGGGTCATATGTGGGTGAAATAAGTATTCCTATAGGGTATCTGATATTTGAATTGAAAAGTTTTTGGGTAATTCTGAAGTATGCGCACCAAGATGTCGCACAACCTGAACCCTAACCTTGTACACAACCTGAGTTCAAGTTGTGCGCCATCTTGGTGTGCATACTTCAGGAGGTCCATTTTTTTGAATATAAACCAATTAGAATAGAATGAAGCTATTATTACGTATTTGTATGTATGATATAAAATGACGTGACGGGAGCACCTGCAAAGAGGTGATACCGGTACGTATAAATAAGATATAGTATAATTGAACTGTTACAAACATACACATGCTCAAACTGTGATAATGACATAACAGTTGGCAGAACGGAAAAAGGTAAAAAAATAAAAGTGTTGAATATTTCACTTATTAAATTCGGCGGGCAATGTTAAATTGTAACACGATTTGGGAATAACTGTTGTAGAGTAATAAGATCTGCTGGCATTGCTATTTGATTTAGTATCTTGGACAGGCCTTGTTCTGGGCTATCATGTAAAATATTTATGATATTGCAGTTTTCAGCTACTTTGCTACAAATGATTGTATGCTTTGGCTTTATTTGCTCGCACTGGTCTGTTCAGGGATGAAGTTTTTGCTTGCTCAAGAGGAATATTTTTAAATTTATCAGAATCAAGAAATTTTCAACCCTACCAGTGGGAGTTGAAAGTTTGATTTCCAATGTTTTCACATTTGGAAGCTTGATTCGGTTGTTTTTTGAATTCAAGCTTGTCAGTTGTTGGATAAAAACTTTTCTTAGAATGCAGATCTAACCCTAACAATGCTATAGCAGAGAAAGGTTTCATGTGCTTGTTATTTTGATGCCTTATCTGCTGCGTGAAATGGAATAATGCAAAAGATATATTAAATAACTTGATACCTATTTAGAGTAATTGTCTTTGTTCAATTATAATAATCAATCCTCTAAGGCAGGGCTACTCAACTGGCGGACCGCGGTCCGATTCCGGACCTTTCGACCATTTAATTTGGATCGCGTCTGCTTGTTTATTTTGGCAGCATAAGCATCGCTAGGTACTTTCAGATGATTTTGATACAATTTAAATACACAGCTATACAGTTTGTCGTACTGGTACCAATATGCGACATTTGTGTTTATATTTGCGAGCCATTATTTGAGGTTTCGTTTATTTAATGGAAAAATATTCTGTAATGTCCGGACCCCAGTAATTTTGAAGTTTTCTAAACGAACCTTCGGTTAAAATAGTTGAGTACCCCTGCTCTAAGGCATGGGTCGGCAACCTTTTGTCGCTCGCGGGCCAAAATTAAGGGTTACAAGTCATTGGCGGGCCACACATGTTTTTAGAAAGTTGAAAACCGAACAAATGATACTTTTCATAATAAAAATCAAGCGGTGATACATCTCTCGAATATAATATAGATTTATTTCATCATTGTATCTCAAAAAATTCCATTAGAATATTTTCAACCGTTGCACTTAGCATCAAATTTTCTGCGTTTTTTTGCCATTTGTCTAATTATAATTAAATTATAGGCTCATTTAACGAGCAATTGTGAATTATACTTGTTAGGTTATAATATAATTTAGTCTAAAGAATATATTCGTCAAAACGGCTGTCTTGTTACTTTAATTCAGTGAAGCGCTGCGGGCCGGATTATTACTCCTACAGGCGGTAGGTTGCCGACCCCTGCTCTAAGGTCGAGGGTAACATCTCGCAATGCTGCATAGAACAGTTGGGAGCTAAAAAATCAGGCTCGGCGGTTGGGATATCGATCGAACTTTGGGAACATGCTCCCTCTCATTGATCACTCTGTGAGGATTTATGTTCGAATTGGTTCCATTACATTTGAACCCACGACAATTGCACCTGCATACTATTGCACCTATGGAAATATTTTTTGTTTCACGGATATTTGAACCCATACTAACTCTAACCCATGGGGTTTAGCACCCTCATATAGATTGAACCCGCGGATATACACATGGGTTCAAATGTACGTGGGTTCAAATGTGCTGTCACCGTTCGAATTGCATGAAAAAATTAGGAACAGGAAGTTTGCGGGACTCTATGCAGTCCCATAACCACTGTTCAGGTATCGACTTACCTCACAAATGAGATAAATATGTATCCATTTAAGAGGATGTGGTTTGCTATATGATTAAGCCATCCTATCAGCTTTCCTCTCTTTAGGATAACTAAAAATATCTTTTTTCAAAAACCATTCTTACACAACTTTGGCTAATTTTTGCGATCATACTTGCAGCAAGGTGCAAGCAATGCTCCGCAGCCAGCAGCAGCAATGATGTCAGCAGCAGGCTTGCAGCAAGCGGCAGCCTCTCAAGGAGCCCATCTTTACTCGCCTGCAGCTGTGGCAGCTAGTACTCCCACATACACAATGCTACCCACAGGTACTATATCACATATTCCACATAGGCCTTATTTAAAGCTTCATTTCGGGTAGATATGTTACAATCAATAGCGGTAACCCAAAGTGCATTGTCATGCATCGAGGATTTTAACTAAAAGAGTGAACTTGAACAAGCTGTTTTGAGGAAGTGACAATATTTTTAAATTTTCTATGAAAGAAGTAAATATTTCGGAATTGCTCTTTTCAATTGCATTATTTTCTACATTCCAAACTGAGTAAGTTTAAAAGATATAAAGCAAACAATGTCCTAATAATGTTATTTGTCAAATGAAATATCTCTCGCTTAACAATTCCAGGCGAAATCACTCTGGCAAATTCTCCGCTTTTCTACTATTCGAATAATGTCGTATCAACCACTGCCCACCCGATGGCGCTGGCAAATTCTGGACAACAAGTTACTGCAATCGCCTCCCCATTGAATGCGTTATCAAGAGCTGATAGGCTAGAGGTGAGTGAAATCTTTATAGTTATTATGTTAGAAGTTATATGGCAAATTTTCCAAATACTGTAGGTGTCCATAAAGTCTTAAAATTTTCAAAAATTGCAAAGGGATTTTATCAATACCATATATAGAAACAACAAACCTGGTTGAGATATATTGAGAACCGACTTCATAACAAAATTGAAATTGTAAAAGGACTTCATGGACACCCTGTATATTAACTAATATCCTAATAAGGACTTCCAAATATGGGGATTAATTTACAGGCTTTCACTCTTTGTTGAATTTTTTTACCAATCTGATGATTTCCTGACAGTAATGTCTTGAATTGCGTCAAGTCCATGTCGACTTATCTACTGATGTTAGAGCTCCAGTGGTTAAATGCAATCCTTCTATCTAAACTCTTTCAACTTTTATTTAAAGCCTTGCATTTGTCAGACTCATGCAGTACTATTTTCAGTTTTAGTTGTGTGCTCGGGATAAATATGAAAACCTGTTTTGTTTTAACTTCACTTTTATTGTAAAACCTAGAATGCTAATATGTGTCTGCATTTATCACAATGCTCACAAGCTTAAAGCCCGCTTAGAAAGTATCTCATCGTGTTTCTCACTCATATTTATGCATCATCACAGTTCTTACAAGAATAAAACTCCTGATTAAAGAGTGTCTCATCCAGACTTTTTAACTTCTATGTCACAAGATGAGATTGTCCATCTAGTTTTTTTATGCCTCATGTTTAATAAACTTCATTACTTATCGATCTCGATCGGTACGGTAAATATGTTGATAGATATATTTATCTGTCTGTATGTTACGCGATATCTCACGAAAGCGAGGATGAATCTGCTCCAAATTTTGCATGTGCATTCATCATCTCGGACCAGAAGCCTATTGATTTTGATGAATTATGTCATATAATTAGCGAGTTATTAATTAATTAGTGCTGGGACACGCGGTGTCGCTATCGAGTCAGTGCGGAGGATCTCCGATCGCTATCAAGTTTTAGGTTTTGAAACTTTCCCGAATTTCTGTCATTGGTGTTTATATTGTGTGTTGTAATTTGTTGTACATTGGCGGAGTTCAAGATAAATCATCTATCTTGCAGGTCTGCAGAGATTTCCAGCGAGGTAACTGCACTCGTGGTGAGCATGAGTGCCGGTACGCCCATCCTGTTGATCGTTCAATGATCGAGATGACTGATAACACCGTGACAGTCTGTATGGATTGCATTAAAGGAAGATGCACCAGGGATAAATGCAAATATTTCCACCCACCACCGCATTTACAGGTAGTGCGACATTTTATTTGGTTCTTTTGTTTTGGCTAAAAGTTGGTGTGAGTGAAAATTCTGAAGGAGACAGTCAGAGATATCCTAAACAAATTGAATATCCATCCATTCAGTAAATACATAAGTTTTTAGTTATGTTGTGAGATTTGCTTAAAAGTGAAGTTTTTTTAATGGATTATTTTGAAACCCATAGTTTAGAAAATCAAACATAATTCATTTTGAATAGATCGATTTGTTTTGGAGATTACTGATGCTTAAATCTCAATTACTGCTATGCTTTCATCAAATCAAAATTTCTCACTTTGTCACGTAATCGATAAATATTCAAGGGAGACTGGATGCAAAAAAGTTAAAATATTGAGTAACTTTTTATATACAGGGTGTCCAGAAAATTCCACCAAAATTTAATAGCAATGACAATTTGGAAAATTTATCTTTGTTTATTAAAAGTTCTTGTTGTGCGTTATGCCGCGCTATGCATAAAAACTGTTTCCATTTGTTGTTCAATCTTTAATATATTATTTGCTAGCGATATGCACAATTCGCACTCAAGGTTTTGTACATCTTTAATAAATTATTATGTAGGCATAAATATGTGCAATAGTACTAAATTATCCTAACAATATTTGTAAAAAGATCCTATAATTAAGTAGGTAATACCAATCATTGCAAAAAGTGCAGTCCTTCACAATATATAATGAGCATAGACTGAGTAAGGACAGACAGGGTAAGATGGGAGGCGCTTTTTCGCAGAAGAATTTTAATGTTATAGTCCAAAATTCAAAGTCCGCTAGACTAATCAATTTTATTTTTTTTTAAAAAAATCCATTCCTCTGTATGGTGGCTGTTGTCGTGTTTTGTGGAGGCAAGGATTTGCAAACGCCTCAGATTTAATTTGCGAACAAGTACTGAGCGCTTGTTAAGAGCCCTGTTCCTAGCAAACATTATTTCAATGTCAGAACTGGAATTCGGATTACAAAAGTCTATAATTATCAATTTTTATTGGTCTATTCAAACCCTGGGATTGCAAATGTCCGTTGAAAATGACAAAACTCAATTTGAATGTCATAATTGATGTTTGGGCTTAAAATTCGAATCCTGCAAGTCTATAAGCAATATTTTTTTTCTAAACTCTTTTTCCAAACTCCTTAGCGGTTGTTGAGCTTTGATGAATCCTGTTTTGATATTTATTATTTATTTCTTCTTATTTCGATATTACAATATATACAGCAAATATCACTTATTCCAACAAATCAAAATTTCTCATTTTTTCAGGCAAAGATTCGCGCTAGTCAGCACCAAGCGTCTTTTCTCCCAACAATGGCAGCTCCATCTTTGAGTCCTGTCCAGCAAGCGGTTGTGGTGGGTATAGCGTTACTTATTGTGTGGCTTGATTAGGACAAAGGGTGGCTATTTTTACTTTTTGTATAGTTACTGTATTGAGCTTGCTTTTTGAAGGATATTTCACATCTTAGCTATGAACAAGTCTCTAGACAAACTGCCAATCTAAGCTTACCATAAGTCCCGGTTTAAATGTACCGGTCATGCAATATGCCAGTCATGAATATTTTTGTTTACTGTACCGTATATCAATACAACATTTTTTTCATCAATAGACGAAGTCTATTTATCACCGATTTGCGACTCACTTACCAGTTCCGCGGGAGAGACTACTATATTGTTATGTCATAATTATTAATACGTCAATTTAGCATCTAATATTAGCTATAGTGCCGTTAAATTATTAAAAATGCCTAAAAAAAGTGCACATTTCCCAAAGAGTTGAATATTAACTAAGCCCCAGAATCGAAACAAGGTTTTGTCTAATCCAGTGGTTCTCAACCTTTTTTCTTTCGTGGCCCACTTTCGTCGCATGAAAATTCGGTGGCCCACTAACTTTCTCATGCAAGGAAAAACTACAAGAAAAACAAGACTTTTGTTTGCAAAATGCTTGCTTTTTGCAGCATCTTTCATTGCTAAGTTACATTGAAAAATTGACTAAAATGACACGAATAAAACTAAACTTTCAGTAACCATGGCGATTTTTAATAGGTTTGTGGCCCACTTGAAAATGTCCTTATTGCCCACTGGTTGAGAACCAGTGGTCTAATCTGAACCGTCCCTATACTAAACTTGCAATTGAATATAATGAAACCAGGGAGAACGAGGGGGGGGAGGTTTCTTATAGTGAAAGTAAAATCAGTTTTGCGCCTAGCATTGTGGCCCCCCTTGAACTGCCCCTTAGGGGAGCCACGGAACCCCGGTTCGGAACCGCTGGCTCAAACATTAGTTTCTTTTACTTGTGATCGAGTGCGTGATCGAGTAAAATCGATGGGCGGATTTCAAAAAGTTTAGCCTATGATATAATTAAAAGGTTTGCTGTAAACTTAACAATTAAAAATTTGGCTTACGGTTACGGCCTACTGATAACAAACGGAAATTCCATAATTTCCAGACGACACAGACGGTCAACAGACCTGTCCGCCTGATTAGATAGCAAGGCCTCTTTGTCACCAGTTGGGAGACAAATTTACTCGCTAAGTCGCCGAAGTACGACTGTCACCGCTGGGCGACCAATTTAGTCACAATTTTGTTCCCATGGAACACAGTTTGAGAAACGCTGCTTTAGGATTATAATTTCATCCCTCTGCAAAGTATTTTACCTGAATGACTATGTAGCTTGCATGTATAGAGACTTGTTTATAGTAAAGATGTGAAATGTCAGAATTAGCTTTTTCTCATAAAATTACGGTTTTCTATTTAGTCTATTCCTATTTCATACTTCAGTTAGTCTTTCTTTCTGAAATCAAAATTGCATTATGGGTAATATTTGTAGAAATCTTAGTTACGGTGAAAAAGCATGGAATTATGATCAGTTTGAATTTTTTTATAGAAATTCTGTTTTTCTAAGCTGATGTTTGAGGATAAACAGACATGGTGGTTTCAAGACTCACTATATTTTGGAATTCAATTTTGAATATTTTGACGCTATGATTGGGCATTTCATTTTCAAGGATATATGAAATATTTATCATGAGGGGGAGGTAAAGCTGGTAAGATGGCTTCATCATATGGCGAACCACAGCCTTTCGTGAAGTCCAGCACCAGTCCATGTCGGTTGTGGGATTACTCAGCCAGGTATTTGTTTCAGATCCATGGACTTGATGGTAGAGAAAGCTGTAACCGACCATTGGTTATGTGAACCACCCGACGGCGACAGAGTTTCAGTTTTGTCAAACATATTTATCCCCACCCTACAGAGTCTGGCAATCCTCTCTCACATAATCATCCCTACATGATTCGAACCTGCGAACCCACAGAAGGTAATCAGAGGTGTGATGGCGCGCATATTCCGCCCTGGCACGATCACACTACCGCTTTTGATCAAAAACCCCTAGAAACAGCTTTGTTATTATTCTATTTACCAATAACTCACGAGCTACTTTGCAAAGTGAGGAGCTCAGCAATCTTTTCGAATTTGTTCTGTTAATTAAAGGCTGTAAAAATATGGCCTAGTCTGCTTACCAGGTTTGGCCGTGTGTTGCATCATGCCAAGCGTTAGGAATACTAACGCCACCGCACGCACCTCCGTTTACCCTGCTTGGGTTAGCAGGTTTGCATTCTGTGGGGATGATTATGTGAGAAAGGATTGCTAGACTCCTCGCCACTGTAAGGTGGTTCACATATCTAGTGGTCGGTTATGGGCTTTCTCCTCTAGTTTACTAATCTCATACCCGACATGGACTGCTAACCGGACGAGAGGCCGTGGTTCGCCATATGATTAAGCTGTCTTATCGGCTTTTCTCACCCTCCTGGGATAAATATGTGAATCTTATGCTAAATCACTTATTCGTTCTAAATGCATGATTTTGTTGGTGGAAGAAGTCGTTGTTGATCAGTGTCTGGGTAGCCGAACCCCATATTCATCAAAAACACCTTCTACATTGTCGTAATATTTCGAACGTCCCATCTCAGGGTGGTTCACGTAGCCGGTAGTCGGTTACACATTTTCCCACCACCAAGTTTATGCTTTTTGAACAATAAGTGGTCAACCATCCTAAGGATGGAGAATGGCAACTGAAGAAAATGCCATATTCTGGCATATGAATCGGCATTTTTATCAGCTTTCCTCTCATTTTAGATAAATTTGAAATACCCCTTTCTATTAATTCCTAAAATATTGTTTGGTTTGAAGCCACTGTGTCTGTTTTAATTAGTTAATCATAACAATTAATTATTTTACGAAGTCGGTTGATTAATTTTATTTTTTATTCTTTGCTCTTGCTCCCACTCTCTATCCCACTCATCCTATCCTTTGTATCTTTATTATATGCTCACGCTTGCATCATCACTCCCACTTTTTCCAAATTTCAAATTAATTTTTGTCAAAATAACTTGAATTTTAAAAATCAACCGAAAATTAATTTAACGAAAATTTTATCATAATTTCGATTCTTCCTAATAAACTAATTATTAAATCATAATTTTTTCTTTACCCCCCACCCAAATTTTCCACCCCCTCATTTTCCCCCCCACTTTGCTGCTGCATCATTAATGCTTGTCTGTCCTTCCTGCGATCACCGTGTCTGTCTGTCTGTCTGCAACCCCAGGGACAAGGTGTGAAACGGCCAGCTCTTGCCCTGGACATGGTACGCTAAATATGGAATTTATTTTATTTTAAAACAAGACTGCAAACTCAAGTATAAAGACCCATTTTTTTTAAACTTCTAAATTTTCAATTATTTTGTCTCAAACTTTTTTTTTCATATATATTTGCTCTCTATAAACGGATTTGCAAATAATTGATAATTTTGTTGTTTCCAGCAACAAAAAAAAAGAAATTTCAACTCAATCTTAGTTAGTAAATTTTGGCAATGTAATCACATTTTTGATGAATTCAAAAAAATTTATGAAATTTTTGCTCAAAATTCATCGTTTTTTGGGTTAGGATGGGTTTGTTGTTCTGTTTTATGTATTTAAAAAAAATGAAATCACAAGCCAAAGCAGGTTGAAGGTCTAAACACAATCGAAATGAAAATTGATAATTGTTTTTTTCCATGCCTAAGGGAATGTCAAAAGAGTTTGATTTGAATGAAATTTTTGTCGTTAACAGAATCAGATCGTACGGGCGACCACTGATACTTAAGGAGTTACTTTTTTAGAATTCAAACCTCTGTTTGTGTAGGCTTGTACCCAAAAGTTTCAGAAATTTAGGATGCTATGGACAACACTTATAGTCTTTTTTAGAATACGTCCCGCTTTTTATTGCACTCTTGTTTTTTCTTCATAATTTCCAATATCATATAATGTATCATGATTCATGAAATAGACAAATTTTGCTGAGTGCTCCTTTCAATTTGGTTTAAAAAAATGTTTCAGTTTTAATTTTAAAACCTTAACCTCTTATCGAATTACCTTGGTTAATTTTTTTTCAAATTATAATTCAAATTAATGTTCAAATTATTGTCTTGAATTTCCCTTATATACAGTTTTATATTTAATTTCATTCAAAACGAACTCTCCTAACATCCCTGGTGATATTTTAATTTACAACAAAACCCAAAATTTTGCTTCTTTTTGTAGTTCTGTCTCAAAATATTCATGACATGTCTCTGTCTTCGCATGGTTGGCTTTTAACTCATAATTTGCTTCGCTACGACTTTGCTTTGGTGTGAGAATCCTGGTGACTGGTGACATTTTATACAAAACGACTCACCTTCTTCTTGATGAAATAGCTTTTTCTAATGATGTTTTCAACCTGAACAAGACTCGTTATAACAGCCACTGATATTATATCTTGAAAACTACAGATACACACAAATTTAAAATAGAGAATTATCAAGAGCGATCAAGCCTCAACAAAAGTCATATTTTGAATTTCCCAAAAGTCCGAATGGATATTTCAAACTTCGGATGTCCAGACTGGAAACAAGATTGTTGGAATAGGATATTCATATTTATAATAGGGGAGGAGAAAGCCAGTTAGACAGTCCATGTTGGGTATGGAATAGTTGAAGCGTTGACTTGGTAGTGGAGGGAGCCGTAACCGACAAGCGGTTATATGAACCACCCTACAGCGGCGAGGATTCTGGCAATTCTCTTGCACATAATTATCCTCCACAGGATATAAACCCGTGAACACATGAACAATAATCTGAGATGCAGTGGCAGGGGTATCCTTCCTGAATATGACTATTCCATGTTATTTAAGGATCTCTATACACACTAGTACAAGTTCAGATTTCCTCAGACAAGCATAAAGTCAGATGAAATATTACAGAAAAAATTTATATTTGTGTTAGTGTGCAGCAAGACTCTTGAAACAGTTAGGATAGTCATCTTGGAATCTTTCTATAGCATCTTCGTATTATAGCATGCGGATCCAACTGCGTAAAAGCATATTTAGAGGATAAGTAGTCTATCAGTTGTGGTCGCATCTATTTCACACTATAGTTATTCACGCGCTCATGACGCAAATAGAATGAGTTTCATTTTCAAAGTGAAAATTGTTAAAACTGTTATCTGTAGAATTTTTTTTATAACAATAATGAAAAAAACTAATCGCTGGTCTGTTACGGCTTCCTCCGCCATCAAATCTGTAAATCTGGAATAAATAAATGGCTAACAATTCCCATAATCGACATGTACTGGTATCCTGACGAGAGGCCGTGGTTCGCCATATGCTGTCTTATCGACTGTCCTCTTCAGTATTAATATGAAAATCCTATACTGCTATTTCAGGATTTACATATTTAACCTGAGGGGGAGAAAAGTTAACAGGACGACTTAATCATGTGACGAACCATTGCCTCTCGTGCAGTTTAGGATTGGCCAGTTATTTTATTTTTGGAAGCATGGACTTGTGCCATTGGCCACATGTTCAAACCCCATTTGCAAAGAATTAAAATTATCAAACACAAGTGTCATCAGTCACCGCCATCTTTCAAATGCAAAGTCTCTCTTCCTCTCTCCTTGCTTTGGCTTCATGATGGGAATTACTATTTACTCAGAGTTGGGACCGTCAAGACGAGGCTGGCCTTCATTGAGAGCTCATTGACTTGTGTCAGATCTTTTTATTCAGTTTGCCTAACGCAAGATCTCCAAGCCTTAAGCTATGTCAAATGTTCGAGTCCAATTCCAAGTCGAATTCAAGGGCCAAAACCCTATGCAACTTCTGATTTAAATCATTTCGAACAATTAGTCAAGTTTTTTTAATCAAAATTTTTAATTCTGTTGGGAAACTTCATCACTCCTACTGTATTAATGATGACTTAGACCCAAACTTCAATCAATTAAGCAATTTCATTTGATCAAACCAGATGACTGTCCCTTCCTCTACAATTCACAATTTTCTAGTTGTACTTCGATATCGAAATCCATCAAATTTTAAAGTATTTATGAGTAATGGACATTATCAGGTCCACAAAGATTATATATTATATAATATAAGTTTTATTTCGACTCCATAATCAGCATAAAAGACGATATCATAATTGATAAAAACTGATGAATAAAACTGATTAGGAGAATCAGGAAAGCGAACAAAACCTTAAGTATATATTTTGAATATAATTTAGAAGATTTTACCAAAAGGAGTGGTACGTGTTCACTCACCCAAATGTATCAAGTCAATTGAAACACACACACTCACAGACAGACAAAATCTGTTCCATCTATAGGTGCAAAGGGAAGGGATATATGTGGTGTTGAGCCTTTTGGAAATATACTTATACTCTGAATTTAGCCATTGCCTTGAGCGGTCTCAATCCTGAGTTTTAATTTTAGTTTTTATTAATTTTCTAGAATGTTTATGCCTGGTGCTAGTTGGTGGAATATACTGGTGAAGCAATACTGAATTGATTTGGGGGTTTTTGTAATTTATTTTATGGAGCTTTTTATATTTATGTGTTTAGTACATCTGTAGGCTCTTTGTGAGGTTCATTACCAAACAAACTGATTAAATGTGATTAGGTAGTTTATGGAATGTACAGAGGAGGCTATTGCACATTTCTGGAGTCCCCTTTTTCAAAGTGCCCACTACCTACATATTTCTTCAGCTAACACCAGGAATTCAATATTCGTGGGTCTGGCCTACTTTTGTACCATTCATTCAACTCCAAAAATTACTGAAGTGTGAATAAACAGAATAATATTATGCTAAAAGGCATATGTAGATTCTGCAATCTTTGATTATTTGTTTTCCGGGTCAGTTTTGAATCAAATTGTACTAACAAGGGCAGCTAAATTTCCTCATACTCGAGTCGAAAGCTGGAGTCACATAGGAAATATTTCACTCTGAACACTGCCCTGTTCAGCATCGCCTACTCAATTTATTAGACACTGGCATGAGATTTGAACTCCAACCTTTAATTTCCAATTCCAACATAGTTGAGTATAATGCTTCTAACTACTAGGCCAAGTTCAAGATTTATGATTTTCAACATGCAATACTTAACAATCATCAGTTTTGTTTAATTTCGTAAATATAAAATAGCAGCATCAGCAGTAGGTGTTCTCCATAAGATTTTTCTGACTAATCACGCTTGCTTGATTTTTTTGGTAGAATAGTGTGAATGGTATTAAAGTAGACCAAACCAGAGTGGCAATCATGATATGAAATAATTCATTTGTAGTTTTTATTAGATTTAACAACGAATATTTTGTGAATTTTGATAAAAAAATAATCATACTCAAAAACTAATTTATCATTTTCATTCCTCCCCACTCCTCCCCGAAAAAAAAAAATCATCTAGGCGAACAACAATGCATCAAATGCACTTGGACAACCACCGTTGAAGAGACACGCCCTGGATAGCAAAATGGTCACCCAATCTGCGGCGCTCGGTGCACCTCTAGCGCCATCTCCCAACGGAACTCTGTACAGTTACGGACTTCCAATTCATCAACAATCAGCTGCCACAGCTGCCCATGCATATTATCAAGGTAGGTTTTATTGTAATGGTTCTCAAACTTTCATGATTATTTCATGTGATCCCCTTTCCAAAGACTCCCTGTAGCCAGGAATTTTCAAACGGGGGGTTCTGAGATTATTAATTGTCGAGTTAGACCGAATTAGCTTGTGACTGGAGGCTGGAATACATGGATTTTCAAGTCTTGAGGGTCTAAATAGCTTTTCAAGCTATGAAAATTGTGATGTTTGTTACAGAAAGGGTTGCACAGTTTTTTTGCAAGGGGCAAATAGAGGTGTCTAATCTTCAAAATACAAAATATTTTAGAAAAATTGCGATGTTCTCAGTTCAACATAACCCGCTTAATTAACCATAATTCTTTATCACAGTGCCGCTACAGTATTCTATCTACGGTGCAGCGGCCCCTGCGAACATTCAAACAGCACCAGGACTTGCTACGGTCTCTCTCCCGACTGCAAACGGACAGACAAGCGCTCCTTCTGCCACCACTCTCGCTTTACTGAATGGTCAGAGTCAGGTAAACTGATGTTTTGATTTGATGTTTTATCCATTGTAACATGTTAGGGATCGTCCAAAGATGGCTATGCGAGGGTTTCAGCATGGCCGCTCAAGAAGTGTGTGTACCGATATGGAGGTAACTAATTTTACCCGCCTACTTTACATCAAGTTGTGTAAAGGGCGGAAGCCTATGGGCAGTGGGCATATTCAATTGGCTAACACAGACAGCCCCAGAAATCGTAATAGAACTAAAACAAGGAAAATCGGAATACAAGTATGGCTTAACCCTAACCCGGTAGTGTAAAGGGACTGAAACCTTATGGTCGGTCCCCGAACTCGTAATAGAACTAAAATAAGAAAAGTCGAAATAAATTATGGCCTAAACCCTAACCTGGTACACACACTCTGGGAGTACCTCAGCATAGAAGGGACGAAAAATCCCAAAGATATAAATGCTTTTGAATCAAGTTTTGTAATCAAATTTCTTGAGATTCCCTACTAACGACTCAAATAAACGGCATGATTTTGGACACAAAATGGATCTATTTATTAAATACTTTTAAAAAAATCGCTTTTTTCTGCAACTAAAAGATTCAACAATTTCAATTTTTCTAATATTTAAGTTGGAGAAAGTTTTAGAAGGCTATTACTATTCGTTTTTTTTAAATTATGGGATCCAATATTACCAAAATTTTCTGTTTATTTTGATTAACGGGGAACACTCTTTAGCTCGCCAATCTGGTGCTGGTCGATTACAGCTTCCTCCACCATCAAGTCCATGCATTCAAATCAAATAACTGGCTAACTAATCCCATACTCGACATGGACTGGTAGCCGGATGAGAGACCGTGGTTCGCCATATGGTTAAGCCGTCTTATCGGATTTACTTTCTGAGAGGATAGGAAAGCCGATAGGATGGCTTAATCATATGGCGAACCCCCGCCTCTCGTCCATTACGTGAACAACCCTACTGCGGCGAGGAGTCCAGCAATCCTCTTGCACATAGCGAACCCACGCAGGGAAATGAGAAGGACCCAACGCTTAGCATAATACCCCACATCGCCATAATCCTAAGTAATTCTTACCGTACTGGTACTGTGACTTTCGTGCCCATATCTTCGAGCATTACTCTCTTCTTTTCTATTTTTATCTTTTCTTTGTAACAAACTAACAGAATTCTTCACTAACCGTTTGTCGAGATTACCAATCAGGAAAATGTGCTCGTCCTTATTGTCGTTTTGTTCATGTCACAGAAGGTATCATTGTTGAATCATAATAATTGCACATTCTTTTGTCATAATCAGTTTTTGGGCTACAATTGTGACAAAATAATGATTAAATCAATGATTTGTGTTTGAAGCAATCAAAATTTTATTCGGGAGAATTCTAACAAATTTTTGTAATTCCTAATGTTGATAATTTTTATTTTGAATAATGCTGATTTTTCCCTAATTTAGATGATTCTGTGAAACTTTTATTTTTGCAATCTTGATCACTGAAGTGATATTACCAGACCGCTGAATTAAATTAAAAATCGGAGGGCCCTAAATCAGTGCTTCCAAACCGGGGCTCGTGGCCCACCAAGGAGGCTACAGAGCAGTTGATGGGGGGCACTATGCTAGGCGCAAAACCTATCTCCTTTCCACTACAAGACAAACTCCTGTCCTTTTTAGTTTCCTTGCTTGATAAGGTTCTTTCACAAGGTGATTTCACTTTGTCGAGCATAGATTGATTGAAAATATTGGGATTCGGAATCTACTAGTCAAAATAATACTATAAATGCCACTGGAATGATAAACATGGGACCATGAGTGTTAAAAGCCTCCGGAAAGGGGTCACGACTCATGAGCCTTAAAAGGTTGGGTAACACTGCATTAAATATTGAGTTTGTCTCAGGAATCTATTTTTATACGATATCAACTCATTATTTTTGCTCTGAACAAGACAATGCAGAAGCATCCACGGATATATAATGATATGTGAGGAACTGCTATCTTTATTGCAAGGATCCTGATTTTACCCATTTTGACAATTCCTATCCAACTTATTACGCTGGTTGCCTGGTTATAATATCTTATTTTGTTAATTTCGATTAAATCACAATTTGTGTCTTTTTCATCAATTTCCTTTAATTCTTGATTTTTTTGGTCATCTGGAATGGATTTTTACTCAATTCACTTTTTGTTTTTTGTTCCCAAGTTGCAATGATTGTGTTATTGATTTATCAATATTTTGCTATTTTCTCTTTTTTATTAATGGTGTTTAACATCTTTGTGTTTTGAACAAGGGCAGGGGGGGCAAGGTTTTAGGACCAGGGGCCAAAAATTATGCCCACCTAGACTGGTGGGCCATGTAAGTGTGACGTAAAAAGTAACATTTTATGATCATTATTTACAGTGTTACAAAAGCAATAGTAAAACACAATGAGCACCAAAACTAAATTTAATTGCAATCTCAACAAATTCCTCGATTGAAGTACTCAGCGGGCCATAGTTTGCTCATATCATCTCTAGGGCCTACTATACCAGTCCAGTGTTCCCAATTTATGAATCTTCCGAAGCACGTGCCCACAAATACTTGTAGTGGGTGTAGCATAATGATTTTTGCATATAATAATACTAACACCGACCTGACTATGTCGTACAAAAATTACTCCACTACAACGTCACAATCACATCATAGAGCTCGCCAAAAGTATAGCTAAGATCGCCTAAGTGCAAATTTTTAAAGCTTAATTCATCTCTTTGCTACCCTCTGATTCTAATTTTAATTTCTCCTAAAAAAAATATTTGAAACAATTCAATTTTTCTTTTCCAGATTTTGTTGAAGTAAAAGACGATAAAGTTACTGTGTGCAAAGACGCTTTACTTGGTGAGTAGAAATTTTTTTTTTTTAAATTTGTGCTTATTGTGCGGGGGGTCATTTGTGTAAAGTTAAGCAACTATGTGCATAGGTGCTTTTTACTTGGTAGATGATTTGGCAGAATGATTTTCGAAAATTTGTGCAGAATATGGGGAGGGGAAGTTCCTTGTAACGATCCTCTCTTTAGTTGGAGCCAAGAAACTTCTAAAAATTCATTTTGGTGGCAGGGGGTGATTTCTCGGATAAAATCACATATTTATGTGTAAAGATGTTATACTCGGTGGGTAAGAGATTTGTTTTAAATTTGTGTTGGGTATTATTAGGCCTTGGATGGGATTTTCATACACATCCTATGAGGAGAGCATATGATAGAATGGTGGAGGATGTCATGACTCACACGGATTGCTCCTCACGATGGTGAGGAATCCAGCAATCCTCTCGCACATACCGTAATTCCTTCCTACATAATTAGAATCAGGACAGTGTGATCAGAAGTGCAATGCCAATCATGGCCCTAACACGTAACTTAACATACCGCTGTGCTTTGAAATTTTTTTTATCAATACTTTGCTTTTATTTTCCAGGAAAATGTCTTCGATCCCAATGTAGATTTTTTCATTACCCCCCACAACAAGAACCCCAACAACCCCAGTACCCTTCCTATCCTAACAACATACATCATCAACTTGCTGCACAGCCTGAGGCTCAGCCTATCACCTTACAAAATCCGTCAGCACATGGGATGCTATCTCCCGTTCCTGCTGGAATTTACCCTCAGCCTGTGCTGTCTGACTTGCAAGTTAGCCTTTGAAGCCTGCTGATATTTCAGCAGTCATCAGGCATATTGACACCTGATGCTGTTTTTCTAATTTGTAACTGCTGAAACAGCAAGCCTAACCCTAAACATACCAGTAATATCAGTTGTTCAACTTTTATGTAAGCCTTGAACAGTTTTGCTTGATACTGATACAAGCCTGCTGAACAGTGAGCCTAGGCCTGCTTAATCAGCCAGCCCCAGGCTGCTAATTTAAAACATGACACCCTGCCTTACTGAACAAAGTTCTATTGGTTTATCTTTTATTTTCAAATAATTATAGTCACGAAATAATATAATTTCAAATTGTAAATTAGCCATTATAAGGCTAAACCTAGGGCCGATCTTTTGCCAAAGTTTGAATTAGTAATTGAGCCACCTTACTGGCTTTCCTCTTCCCGGAGATAATTATGAGTTCCAATGTTATTTTTTAAAGCCTAATCTTCATGTATGTTTATTTGTCTGAATAAATAACAAATTCCATAAATGGTCATTAGGCATATTTGCACAGTGCGATGCATCAAAGGTTATAATGCAGGCCACATATGCATTATTAAAAAATTTTGTATCGCTGCGGCCCTGCCATCAAAATTCAATTAAACGCTTAACTACTCCTATATCGATATGATTAGAAAATTAATAAGACATGCCATCATTTTTCGCACCAGTACCAGTATAGTTCAATGTTAAAGAATATGGAAGCTATACTCTAAATTTTTTCAAATATTTGTTCCCCCCTCTTATCGGCCTTGGGTCCCCCCATTATTGGCAATCAGTTACTATTATTAATTATTTTATTGAAGTTCCACATTGTAATTATTTTATTGTGAATACCAGTTGCCAGATTTTGTGTGTGTTAAGTGATGTTTGAAACATGTTATCGGCTTTTATCTCCCCCCAGATAGGTGCGTCTGGAATGACTAGCTAACTGGTGTTTGTGTTGTCTTATTCCTTTCCTCTCATATTTTGGGTAAATTCTAAGATTGATTACCTAAATAGTCCTAAATAGAAAATATGTATAAATATAATATGTCCGTGCATCTGAAACAAATAACTGGCTAACTTATCCCATACTCGACATGGACTGGTAATCGGACGAGAGGCCGTGGTTCGCCATACAATTAAGCGGTTATCGGCTTTCCTCTCCTCTCAGAAAAATATGAAAAACCCATTTCAAAAAAAATCTGAAAGTTGAGTAATATATATATTTATTCAGACAAATATTATTTGTTTTTAATTTGGCATGAACGGGGACTAAATTTACCCCACCAAAATTCCCCCTCCCCAAATAGTTACGCTAGTGTCCTTTCAATTTCTCCACCACACACCACCTTGGCAACTTATATTATTTCTTTTATTTCTTTCTACAATGACTTAGTCAAGTTCCGTTATATATTATATATGTCAACAATTTTTACTTATTTTAGTTTGTGTTACTTTTTTTTTCGCACTCTTACCCCACTCCCCCCCATCTTCTTATAGTACATACATTAAATAGTACGAAATTCGCACAAAAATTTGAACCAAGTTGCACATTTTAGAATAAAATTACTATAATCACTTTTAAATCACAAATTTGGTAAAAAAAGATAGTTTTTTTGTGCGTTTATAAATTACCCATAGTGCCATTTTACCCATAGTGCAATTTTTGGAAAAAATGGCCGATTTTAACTTTTTTATTTTTTGTTTTCATTTTTTTTTTGTTTGATAAAAAAGACTTACGCTGGAAAAAGTTATGAGCGACCCCGAATATTCAAAAATTTAACGATCGTGCAATTCATTATCTACTGTAGCGCGTTTTCAGTGTTTTTTAACAATTTTTACAGGTTTTAGAATTTTTTTGGTTAAAATAACGCGCTTTTCGTGCCGGCTAATCACTAAAATTGCTCATATTTTATTTGTTAAAGTTCCACGCCAAGCGTTGTTCTCGTTTAATAGCTTCCATAAAATGCATTCAAGGCCTAGCATAGGAAACTGGTTTTAATTATTCCCACACCCGACATGATAACCGGACGAGAGACTGTGGTTTGTCATATTATTAAGTTATTTTTTCGTATTTTCTTTTCCACAGGATGTAAATGAAATATGTAATCGGACAATCATTTTTATTGTCCTTTCCATCCTTTGAGATAACTATGTAAACGGTTAACGGACAAGCGGACATGGTTCGTTATATTATAGATTCATCTTAGCGATCTCTCTTTTCTCTCCCCCTGGTAAACGGTAAATGGACGAGAAGCATGGTTCTCTATAATTCTATATCACCTAATTTTGACAAATACGAATATATACCAAAATAAATATTTGGTTTTTGGTGAATTGCTAAATTAACGGTAACGGAATCACTCGGTAATTAACGGTACAACCGTTAAGAACCATAGTCCGTCACAACCATTATCTATATTTCGTTTCTGACACAAACCGGTCAACCAAACCATTGGCCAGTACTGTGAATAGCGCACTATATGGTTCTACTAAAATACACGGAATTGAATATTTCTCCCCAAAATTTAGCGCCAACAGCATTTTTTTTCCTTTATTTTATCATCATTATTCAGCAATTTAGATTTTCGCTACGCTTTTGCGCAGCAATACTCGCGTTTACATTATTATGTTCGCTCTGCATTGACTTTTTAAGATTGTAACATCGGGCTGTTTCCCATGCAAGGTCCGGTGGTGACCGGAGATGTGGAGTCAAAAAAGGAACACCGACTCCGGATTGATAGTATATTAATGCGACTGATGCGCAAGTTTTTTTTCGTTTCTAGTAGCAATTTCCGATTTTTACGTCTGAAATTTCGACTTCGGCGTGGCACTATCACCTAATGGCCGCCTGACCAGTTCTTTATTCGGAATAAACTGTAAATTTTATTATCAACTCTTCACATTATTTCTATGTACTGGAAAAAAAGTAATTTAAAAAGTCAAAATTCGAAGTAACTCATATTTCATTTTTCAATTTCGAATTATATTAATCAATTGGTCAACCCCTTGCGTTTAAAAAAAACGGGTTTACGTCTGTTTGGCCGCTTGTATACATCTACTCCGCGATTTGGGTTGTTATATTCAGTAACACTAAGGATGTATCGATGGTCCCCAATCACTTTTTTATCGGTCTGTCCATCAACTCTTCTTTAATAAATATTGGTTTATCATGCGATGGCGAATTAAAAATAGGGATGGGTGAATGGTCTCCAAGACAGCCGCAGCTTTCTGCACGATGGAAGTTGTTACTTGGCACTTAAATCTTGAACGAATGAGTTTTGTTCACTCATATTAAGTCTTGCAACCTTGTTTTGAGCGGCTTCCGATGTTACAGTCTTTAAAAGTCAGCCTTTATATCTGCATATATCCAAGCTGATAACATTATGTACAGCACTAACAAAGCATTGTATCTGTTTCCATAGACGGGTCACATTTACCGCCCATGTATACCCGTTTTATTATTAAGTGTTCTCCTATCCAAATTGAATCGGTAGCCGTGGCTGTTGCGTGATTTTACCACGTGAATTCGGATATCTTTTGAAGTAAATTGTTTACGGCCCACTAACAGTTTTATATTTTTAAAAAAATTGGTATTCGTCCAATTATAATGCCACCAGAAATCCAATTTTTCATCGAGACAAAGAGAAATGATATGAAAGGATTTATATGATTGGCTATATCTGGCATTTAGCCACGTTATTATCGTTCATACAAAAATAAGCTTACATACGGCATTATTAAATGTGCATATATTATAAAATTTTCCCCTTCTCCGTAATTTGTGTTAACCAAGTCAAATGAATTACATAAAGTGAATGCATCTAAAGTTTGGAAATTCTGAGAACCTTCTGGTCCAACCGTGATGTCCTTCGTTGTTATTTTTATCTTTTCTGTACAGCATGCTTATTCACTGCAACAATTTTATGCAAATGAGCCTCTTCTTCCTTCCACGTATGAGGAGTGTTATTTCCTCATGTTTAACCAATCCGCGCGGTTTTTAAGCACAGGGTGACATCAAAAATGATCCCATAAATTTCTTAGTGACTTCTACGAAAATTGAGCTTTCTGTTGTGCATGATGCACCCGTAAATTTTGAGACACCAAAATTTTTGAATGAATTTCGAATGAAGGCTCCGTAAGTATAAACTTATACAACAACCATAATTCTGTTGCATACATAGAAAATGCTCTGGCCATGATATAAGTAAGACCGATTCTGTTATTGGGCGCTCAATTTTCCCTGCGTAAGTTCGAATGTGATTCGGATCAACTTGTACGAGAATTGCTCGATAATATTAGAGAATTCTTGTGTGGGATGACACTAATATGCAATGGCTATCATTCTTGAAAAAACATCCAAGACAAAGTTTAAAAATGCACACCCTTGAATGTTGACTGGCGATCTTTAACAACTGTTGTTGAATTGAAATACTTGCACGTTATTAATTAGGTAAAAATACCAATTTCCGATTTGAACTTATTTTGTCGAGACATTTTACGACTGAAACTTTTTGTATCTTTTGCGCCCCCAACCAAACGGCCCCCCACAGCGCGGCCCATGCCCGCCCTACCCCAGAAACCAATGTGTAAACACATGCGTGGAATAGACAAGGAGCCTTATTTGCATAAAGTTTAAATTTTTCATCAAGAATATTCGCGCCTTTTACCAACCATGGTCACGTCAGCCAAACTGCTTGGTTATTTAATGCAGTATTAAATTAATATTTCGGCTGAGTATGTTATGCTTTTGCTTCTGATACCAAGTATCTTGTGATGTCATAAACAACACTGTTATGTAATGCGTAGCAATTATGATGTCATCACCTTTTATTTTTAAATGTATCATGATGTCACAATCAATAAGCTTACTGTTAAAATTTTGTTTTTAATGCACCACCAATGGTGGTTAGTGACATCACAAATAATTTATTATGGCATCATCAGCAGTGATTGTTTTATCATAATGAGTATATTGTGACATCATTATTAGCAGCAATTGTGCCTTAAAGCAAGCGCATTTTGCAGCAAATCATAAGTTCCGCTAAAATTTAAAATAATTCACAATAAAAGCTTTTTTCTGCCCAATAGTTCCAATTTCACGTGAAACGTGTCAACTTTTTTGATGAAAAATAACATTTTCTTGGTATTTTAAATAAAAACATATTAAAGATATTATATGTATGAATTTGCTTGTCAGATAGCACAGAGCTCATTTTGAGTCGGGACAAGTTATTAAGATGAACGAATCCTTGGGGCCAACGGTTAGGATTGGGGCTTATCTCTATATGTACGCAACAAGCAAGTCTCAAACATTCCGACATGCATGCATTTCCGCATTTGTCGGTTAATTTAACATATGATGAATGTAATTGACTTTGATGGGAGCAGTCTGGTGTTCAAATGATTGATTCGTTTTATCAGGTTACTTTATTCATGGGCTAATTTTCTACGGTACGCTATTATTTCCGTCTTCCTCCCGAGCAAGGCCCTGTACAGTATAATCAGTCCAAAAACAAATGGCATGCTAACTTGTCCTATGCCCCCCATGGACTGGGAACTGGACGAGAGGCCGTGGTTCGCTATATGGTTGAGCCGTCTTGTCGGCTTTCATCTCCCCCTGGGTGAATATGCGATTCCTAGCCTAACGATATGTAAGAAACTACAATTCATGGAAAGACTGAAATCCTTCCGATCCGGACTTGCCTACACAATTTACCATTACACGCAGCTTTATGGAAATTCCTTTTTAATTTAGTCCATATTCCGAGGGTCTTCACAACAATCGAATTTCTCCAGAACGGATAGCGGGATTACATACTTGTGAACGACTCCACAAACCAATCCTCGAGCTTTTGAAACGTGGTCCTTGCAAATATAACTTATTAGAAATCGGTCATGGCTGAATAATTTGTGGTTATTGCGTCATAATTGAGAAATTCAACTGTCTTCTTCCTTCATTTATCGAAGGAGCAGTAGGCTGCCCTTTGGGGCCGTAACCGTCCTCTCGCTCAACTAACTAGTTTAAAGCTTAGCATTCGTACCAAAATATAATGGATTTATAGGTGAGAACAGATAAAAACTATAAGCGGACGGTCTATGGAAGCGTAGTTTACGCAGAAGGTTTTTTAGATTAGATTAGAACGCTTGCGTTCCGTCCCTTCTTAAGGGTGTTGTTTATCGCCAGAATCACCCATTCAGTTATGTTTTTCGTATAAAGAAGTAACAGAGTCGGCTCTGCGCTGAAATGGATTGCTCTGAGACGAAGAGAAGCAGATGGGAGCCCCATAGTAAGTGAATCATTTCGTTAATTGGTCCAGTTATTAGCATGCTAAATACAATAGAATTGCGATTTGCGAGGTATGTAATTTAAGGCCAAGCTATGTCCCAACTCCGTCAATAAGCAGGCGATTATTATCTTATTAATATTGATTAGCAAAAATAAACAGTTCGATTGTCAACTCTGGCAATTATTTATAATGAGAGGTGATTGTGTATAATCAGCGTAAAGCAAATTGTGTTCCAACTGCGGTTACTCTAGGCCTCTAGGGAGCCGAATATCTGATAACGAATGCTGAATTTAGATTTGGTTAGAGTTGTTATGTGCACAAATTATACCATCTATATCAGTGGTTCTCAACCTTTTTGTCTTTGCGGGCCCTTCTGGTGCTCTCAAAGCGGTCGCGGACCCCTCAAAAGTTTTTTATTTGAAATTTAGTTTATAGCTTAAACAGCAACCTAATGTTCCATACAGATTTGACCAAGTCAAAAATAACACCAAACTAGTGGACATTTTCATTTATTCTGTTAAATCGAATGCACTTAATGGTGTTGCATATCAGAAGCAAGTCTTGAAATACTTGGTCATGTTTTTGATAACAATAGACGCATATCATCTTCGACGTTTAGTTGGTTACGAGCCTTGGATTTGATCTTATGGGCTATTCCAAGTGACACTACGGGACAATTCCAGAAATTTTGCATGTTGTTAGATTCAATATATTTTCACATTTTCAGCTACATGTTTTGTTTCATTGTCTAATCAGTTGCTTTATTGAATATGTAAAAAATTGCACAAAAGTTACACCCAACCTTACTTAGTAGATAGAAAAAATATAGTAAAATATAGCGTGACACTACAGGACGGCAAATCCACCATGCACTAACGGTACGTTGTGTTGTGCTGTAAATTTTTGCGATGGTACAGTAGGAGCCCATATTATTTTCTGGTGCAGTAGCTGAACTACCCCTCTATGTGTTGCTCAAGTTACTTAATGTAACACTGTAAATCCATGCCATTAATGTGCATATTGTATGTGACACTACAGGACGTGACATTACAGGACATTTTTCCACTTTGGAATAGCGGCATCTATCATCTCCTAAAATTCTGGTAATAAATCGTTAAATGGGTGAAAAAATGTTCTACAGCACTGCAAACATTTAAACTTTATTAACTTAAATCCAGTGCGTCAATTCCATATGAAATAACTGTGCCTCACAATCAAACACTTTGTGTCAGGAATCATCACAAAATATGTCAATTATACCAAAATTTCTACATTTCAGGCCATTTTTTAAAACCATCAAAAACCTGGTTGAAATTTTAAATTGTTCGATGAAAGGAATGCAGTCCAATGAAATTCCAATGTCTTTTGATATCAAAAATAAAATAAAAATTACTTTCACTACACTTTTTAAAAAATTGATGGAATTCAACTTTTGCTTGGAATGGCCCATAAACGAGAGCAAAAAATCCACTCTCACAAAGGTAAGCGGAGGCGAATGGAACAATAACACGTAATGCTTCCATCGATACTTTTGGGTACGACGGCAAAATGGCGCACCAAAACTGAGAAAGTGATATGTGAGAAAGTTGCTGAGGACAGCATAACATAAAATGCATTGCGGTTTTTCCTCGCCACTCCCTGACACTGAGATATGCCTTTTCTTACTACTTGTACTTTCTTGATTTAGCCAGGCTGGTTAAGTTTTAAAAAGCAACACAATCTCTTTTGTTACACGTTGGCTGTAGAACAACTAGCCTAGCTACTTCGCTTCAAATGAGAACGTGACCAGTGACCACATGCCCTTGAAATCACTGTAGCTGCGTTCTCGTATTTATCATTGTGATGTCATACCTCGTATTTGTCACAATAGGTCTTCCGGAGATAAATCAAAATAGTTTTTGTAGGCTATTATTGTCATAGGCAGCAAATATTCGAGAGTGTTACAAAAAAAAACGATAAATAATTTTCTAAAATCTTAATTTAATTGCTGACCCCCTGTAAATGCTTCGCGGACCACGGAGGGTCCACGGACCCCCGGTTGAGAACCACTGATATATATTGTAGGCTTATATTATTCAGAGATTGGTTTGACAAATGCGTAAGTATATAAATGAGTTAGGTCCAGCTCAAAAGTTAGCTCCTCTTTCTGAGCTTTCGGAATGCGCTCGCTATCGCGACTTTGAGTGTGATTACGCACAAAGTGGATCCTGAACAGAAGGTTGTGCGCGAATAAAATTATTTGATTCTCTTGTAAACGACTTTTTTGGTTATCAGACGATAAGCCGCAGTTTGGCGTATTTCTCGGCCATTACATAATTAGTACTTTATAGTTACCGGTATTCATTGTATCAATTTTATTTGAACTTGTTTTCGTGATGACAAATAAACGATTGATTGATTGATTACATGCTTTTGAAATTTGAGGGCGTTAAGCTCTTTGTAATTCTTTCAAATAAAATAATTTTAAAGTTTTAACATTTACCACGGTCACTCATCCGGTAACCAGTCCATGTCGGTTATGGGAATAATTAATCAGTTATTTGTTTCGGATACGTGTTTAGCCAGTTAAGAACACGTTGAAAGTTGTAGATGAGTTTAATATTGTAAATATACAAGAAGAACAAACGATGAATACAACATTAGAACATCGAGAGACGAAACGACACTTACAAGACCTCTCAATACATTCCTCCCAAATATCCAATTGAAACCTTATTTATACGTATGTGCGTATGGTGATATCGATTTCATTAGGGTTATCGATTCGGGTTTGGAATACTAATTACCATATGTCATCGATTCAATTATATTTTTGGTTGTCATCTGTTTGTCTAATTACAACGGGAACTATATCGATCCAATTCATGAATTTGGAGAAAATCGAAATTAGCAATTTCCAGTCTTTTTAATGTAAATTACCTAAACTAACGAATTTATCCCTAAACGTGGACTTGGACAAAGTAATGGTTCGGAAACCTCTTGCTTTGAACCAGAGTCAAAATAAACTCAGGGGAGACCCCATGGTTCGTCGTATAAGATATATTCATGTTTATTTTATGGCATCCCTCTCTAAAAGTTTTGATTTTTGCAAGAACCAACGTTTCATAAACTTGCCTAATTGCCTTATTAGATGATTTCTTACTGGCGGAGTTTTACCTCAGTATGGTGTCAGCTGTTATCTAACGGTTATCAATCGCATTAATAAATCTATGTAGCACATCGGTAGACAATCAAGCTCTTGTAACCAGCACTTTTTTACTTTTGTTAAAATTGAAATAGCCCGGCAAGCAAGGTACTTACAAACCGGTATAAAAGTGACCTACTCTTTTGTGGCGTAATGTATTTTTGAGTAACGAAACTTATATAAACAAGAAGACAAATTTTACGTTTCTGATTGGCCCAAGCGCGTATTAACATTGTTTAATAATGAAATTAGAGAAATAAATAACGAAAAGAGTGCATAACGAAAAGAGTACGTTTCTGATTGGCCCAAGCGCGTATTAACATTGTTTAATAATGAAATTAGAGAAATAAATAACGAAAAGAGTGCTCCCCGTCGGGGAATCGAACCCCGGTCTCCCGCGTGACAGGCGGGGATACTCACCACTATACTAACGAGGAAGCGATGGCAAAACTGTTAAAATAGCAATATGAACCATGATACGAGAGAGTCTTGTAACCCGCGTCGAAGTGACGGCGTTCAATACGCCCGTTTATTACTAACAAAGAGGCACAGTCATTTAAAATCCTCTCACTTAATATACAATATAAAGAACACAGACTTTAGAAACCTTTATCGGGGTCTAGGTTAAACTGACGCGATAAAAGCAATGGTAATAATATTTGTATTACTAATATTATTTCATGATAGCGCGGCGTTGTGGT